GGTCATCGTTTCGTCTCGCCTTTTTGAGCCGCTTCTTCATCGCTTTCAGCTTCTTTTTCTTCACATCCACAATTTTCTTCAGTTTTCTGTACTCCTCAACATCAAACACACTCGTACGTCGCTTCAAATACTTTGTGTCCACGATTATCGGTATTATCAGCATCATTGCGATTCTTTTGCTGATCTCGGCACCCATGTACTTGGAGACAAGCGTTGTTGCACTGCCCACATCGATATCAATGTATATTCTTTTGACCGATGAAATGTTCTTTTCAAGCTTGTGGTGGTCTATTATCATGTTAATGTCACAGTGGCTCAGCTCCTCCACCGGCTTATTGTGGTCGGTCATGAAAAGCTCAATTTTCTTTCCCTCGAGAGCAATTGTTTCATTTCCGCACAAGAAGTACGTGCCGGCCCTGCGAACGCGCGGTGAGAAATTTCCCATTGGTCTTTCCAGAAATATCAAATCGTCGATGTTTACCTTCAAATGCTTGCACACCCACATCAGCTCTCCCTTGCATTCAAAGACTTCCTTTCTCATGTTAACGACGTGCACAACGTTCTGCGAGTATGCCAGGACCAACGATCCCAAGAAGCTGTCCAAATCGCATCCTTCGTTACCCAAGGCAATTTTTAGTTCACTGTGCGTAATTTTCTTTTTGTTTTCCTTCAAGAACTTGTCAAAGTCCATTAGTTTCTTACCTTTACCCATTTCGTTCCAATTTTGTTTGCTTTTATTTTATTTTAATTTAAAATATCAAAACTCCGAAAGTTTTACAAATTAACCAAAATTACCATTTATTGTGAATTGGTCTTTGTAGGTGCTGTTCATTTCTCTATTCACACGTTTTATTACAAAAAGCGTAGTTTTACTCCCCATGATGCACATACTTCTGTTTGTATTCAGGTTTTTTTGTAAAATGCATCCTTTCAACGAGACCCGTGTTTGAATCAATTCAAAGTTTTTGCCATAAAAATTATCGTACATTAAATCATTCTATAATACCTGCTTATACCAACGCTTTAAGGTCCTCCATAGCAGTAATGCCCTTTACGAGCATTGGTATGAAAGTACTTTGCGGTCCATCGAGGTATGGACACACGCACCAAGTCTTTACACCATACCATTTGATTGCACGCACCAAGTCTTGTCACCATACCAAAATGCTTAGATCAAATTACACGAAGGGCCCTGTTCAAATACTTGTGCTTTTGAAGAGCGGGTTGTGCAGCACTATGAATGTAGGGCGGATCAAATGAATACAAATACCGCACGTGAGAGACAATCAAAGCGGTAAGTACGTTTGGTCTGGAACGATAAATTACACGGGTGGTTTAAGCACTACCTGTGGAATCAGAACACATGCATTCCCTGAGCAGGTTCATATTTTTCGTGTGCGTGCCCTTTTTCGGTTTATCATACGAATTAAACACAACGTAAGGAGCAGTGCCGTATTTATTTTTTGTAGAAACAAAGCGTTTAATTCATTTGCCTAGTTAGCGGAAAAACCGTGTCATTAAATGGGAAAGGGCTATAACCATTAAATACGGTGGTAGACCACACCGCATCTCCTCTACCACAAAAATACGAAATAATGCCGTGCACTAAACCAAAATATTAACCCTCACCGCCAGCGTTGATCCCTGGTCATAACAATAAACAAGCAAAAAGTCCTCAAAAACGCAGAACACCATCATGTTGTCCAGCAGGTCCTCCATAAACAGTAAATCCCCCACCCGCACCTTCACATCGATGCTCTCAACATTGCTGATCCGCACTTTGCACGCTTTGAAGGTAAAATTGTAGTTTATCACCTCGTGCACACCACACTGTACCGTGCCATCATCACTAACACGCATTTCCATGGTGGATCTTCCCTCCAGCTTTATTACGAATTTTACAAATTCAACGGGACATTCAAAGCTTATCAACGGTTCGTCAACGTATAAATCGTTCTGATCCACCTCACCAACCATTATTTTCTGTTTTAGTGTGCAACTGCCGGAATTTCCTACCAGTTCTAGCGTGTCAGCCGTGAGCTGGTACGTAAAGCTGCACTGAGCAATTTGGCACAGCGCAGTGCTGTTTATTGAGAAGGAATGGTTGGTAAAGGCAGGTAATTCTAAGAAGAATCTGCTGGTGTACACCTGTGTTGGCGTGATTGACAGCGTTGTGGTGTACTTTCTGAGGATGTTTAACCGTTTTGAGAGCAGCGAGCATACGTTAAAGAAACCCTGCATGGGCTGAAGGCCGGGGTTGATCAGCGATCAAAAATACGTAAATTTTAGCGAGCAGCGGCACCATGCCAAATAAATGCGCGTACGTGGTCTTCATACCATTTCAACCATGGAAATACCAGGGAATACACGTGTACGAGCGGTAACATCATTCTTTGTCACATATTTCATTTTCAAACGGTACGTGCAAAACATAATCCAATAGAGCGCCAACGTGATTGATAACGATGCATACCACACCTTTGGTTTTATACGGCACAGCGACCGGTCTTGCCGCAGCAGCAAGGGTTATCCACGGTCATGCCGTTTAAGCCATGTAGAACGCAGGTTAAACAAATTTAGCTGAGATTGCCATTCTCAACACGAAGAAAAAAATGTTTCTGTCATAGCATACAAGAAGTACAGCTCATTTTGCACCACCGGATAAGCACAGGCCATACGATGCCGAGTTCACTCCCAAAAACCTAAATTTGTTCTGATTGAGGTGTGCGATCACCCCAAAATTGTAAAGAACAAATTCACTTAATACCTCGATCACGCTCTCCTTAAGAGCGCTATTTTAAAATTATCCACAAAAATTTAAATTTCTTACAAATTGTTGCTTAGCGTGCCCGTATAAAACAGCTCTGCTGTTACAAAAGCATCTTTTAAACACGTTAGGTGCACAGCGGTGTGGTGTAAAATGGTGAATAAGCATACGTTCAGTAAAAGGTGTTCAGAACAGCGCTATATCCTAGAAAAGGCAGCTCAACAATCATGCGATAAATACTACAAATACGAGACATTCATAGAAATGGTTTTTCTATACCTCATTTACACCGTAACGGTCAACAGAACATCTCCTCTTGCATTCACTTGCTCATTTCTTCTCCTCCTTTTCATTTTCCTCTTTCCACCTATCGCTCTACAAGCCGTTAATTCGTTCTGTACAATCACCCAGCATCAGCATTGGTCAGCCATGTAAGCGTTCTCTGTACGTACCATTTAACATTACAAAGATGTGTCACCAACGTAGTTAAGAACGCATTCCGTATTTGATGCGATCACTAAAGTTAACCTTCTTCCAAATCCACTACTTCCTATTTTATACCATTTAATTAGCCCTGCATGTATGCATTGGTAAAGTGTTAATAAAATGTGTTTATTTGATAGCATATTTTACCAATATTTTACCATTTACCAATATTTAGCCATCTACCAACATTTAACCATTTACCAATATTTTACCATTTACCAAAATTATTAATATTTTATCATCTACCAAAATTTACACGTACTAACACCGCTGTGCCAGTACATCAGCACCACTGTTGTGTTTCTGTAACGGTAACCCGGTGTTCGCTCGGCCACTCATTTACAGGGGTAACTATTTGATTGCTTTACGTGCGAGGTATCCGTAATTACTACACCCTGCTCGCCAAGGCATTGTTAAGAATACGCCCCTGTTAACACACCTCACCACAGCTGCGCAACCATAAACTAATCAATTCGCTAGTTTCTCTAAAAGGGGCTGTTCCCTGCCATTGGTGTGCAAGGCGCTCAATAAAAATAAAAAAGAATTGAATCGCTCACTCTCATGTTTCTGTTCAAAAGCAGACAACCGAAACACAAGCAGACAAATCTGAGCGAGGTAAAAACGGTAAGTGCGATTGATCCTTCCGAACGATGCAAAATTTGTTACATGTACAACAACCCGATAGATTCAACATGCGACTTAATATCACCATGCGGATGTAAGGGGAGCATCAAGTACGTGCACAAGACGTGTCTCCGGCTGTGGCGGTTCAAGGGCAAGAACCTGCGGGAGATAAAAACGTGCGAGCAGTGTTTCTGCGAGTACAGGGTGGACGAGGACCTTATGCCAAACAAGATTGTGGTGCAGATGATCACCGTGGTTGCTACGGTGTTTCTGTTCGTTTTCTTCCATTTTGCGATCAACATCGTTGTCGAGTCCCTGTCTTTTATAATTGACGAGATTTTCTTCAACAGCAAGCACTTTCATGAGCCGTGCTATGAGCGGCTCAGCTATGCATTTAACGGGCGTGAGTACGCCAACGGTGCAATGACGCGTGAGAGTGATGGTGCGCCCGCGAATGACACGTTCATCATTGGCAACAAGAAATTTTATCTCACAGGAAAGGACACGCTTCTCAAGCTCTCGTTCATGGAAACATCTGTGATAGTGCTCATTTTCTACCAGGTACTCTTCAACTACGGCCTCGTGAGCACGATCAATTTGTTCTTTACCCTTTGGCGCATCGTAAACTTCGAATACAAGATTGATTATTTCTTCCTGTTCGTGATTTGTATTTACTACTTCAAAAAGCTTTACAGGGCCTTGTACCTGCAGATTGATCACATATCGTATTTTGTTATGAACTCAAATAATTTCTAAGGAGCCCGCCATAGCACCGCACTACACATCACGAGCATTTTATTAAACGAAGTATTATTGGTATAGCGTGTTGTTATATTGTGCCAGTACCAATAGCGTATTCTTAGCACGTATTTTCTTCTATTCGTACCTGCTAAGTACTCAAATACCCACAGCATATTCTTAGCACGTATTGTAAACCGATCCTTACCATTCAAATGGTACCACAGTTCAATACGCGCAATAATTTTGCTCCTTTTCTCCTCGTTGATTGCAATATAATACACTCCTGCTTATACGCTTTGCATCCTTTAGGATAACCGTTTAATATACAGCACAGTACCACGCAACAATATGTGCAACACCTTAATGCACTTTCATTTCTATGTTCATGTAATTTATGGTTTAATTATTTACGTATTATGCATCTTTCTAAGTGGGTAAGCACTTACATGCAAAAACGATCGTTTTATACCCCACGTGTAGTACGTACCGAAAAGGATACGATCCTTTAAAATGCGCTTTACCGTGGTGCTGCACTAAACGTATTTAACTACCACGTACCTCGCAGTGATAGTAATTGTTCGTTCGATCTGAGTGATATGTGCAGGCGGTAGAGCTGGTCGCAGAACGAATCACAGAGTAATCGTCAATACAGCGATTACTTACCGATAAGATACGGCATTAGCAGCTATCAACCGGTACGTTACGGTATGATCAGCACATCAATCATAAACCATGATTATTAACCACTATACCAGTCTTTTCTTTCGTTGGAACGCAACCGTATCAGCATACCGCCACTAAACCATACTTCTCATCTTTTACCTTTCTTTACGCTCAGCAGTCCCATTCCGAGTATATGCTAAACATCCTTAGCACCTTCTTTATCTTTATCAGGTCCTTTACGTATCTTTTGCATATCTCCAGCTCAACACTCACTTTGACAAACTGCGGGCTATTAAACCTTTCTATGGCACGTAAAGATTCGTTTATCACTCCCACGAGTCTTTCATCATTTTCTATTGTTCCGCTCCTCACCACCATCTTGAGGCTCTGGTGTATCGCATTAAGCAGAATAAATTCTGCATAAAAAATGTTGCTCTGTATTCTGTAGAGATTCCTTTCTATGTCTATGCATGTATACGCCACGCATTTGTTATTGAGAACGCTTAGGGCCATGCTCTTCAATGCGCTGCATGTCTTTAACTTCTCATTTACCAGTGCACTCTTTTTTTGTGCATCATTATTTTCTACCTCGTGCTGCTCATGCATCATTTCTACCTTCTGTTCGTGCACCGCTCTTTGCATATCGATCTCTTTCAGCTTTTCTTCCTCGTACTTTTTTATTATTTCGGTATTTTTTATCTTTTCCTGCTCGTAATTCTTCTCCATTTCAATCTTCACTAGTTTTTCCTTCTCGTACTTCCTCTCCATCTTTGTTTTTTCCTTCTCGTATCGCCTCATCATCTCAACCTTTCCCTGCTCGTACCTCCTCACAACCTCCATTCTTTCCTCTTCGTACTTCTCGTCAACACGCATTAAACACGAACAGTAGTTCATTAAAGTACGTCTCTGCATAAACAGCATTGCATCCTTAATTTTAAGTTTTACGCATTGCACCGCACATTTATGTGTACTACACCGGTCATCACCACTCATTTTGATCTCCTCTTTCATTTTCATCACCAGCTTTTCCTTTCCGTTCCTTTTCTTAGAACCGTACCGTTCAACCCATCCATGCGCATTCACACTCCGTGTTACTTCCTGTTGAGCAGCTTCTTCAAAATATTTGAGAATGTTGCTTACCACGCGCTCTCTCAGTTGTAATAAACGGTGTCGTGCGGTAAACCGGCACTCTTCCGCCTTCTGCTCTTTTACATCCCCGATATAATCGTGCATGTGCTGCACCACTCTCTTCTCCTCTTCTCTAAGTGCTCTAGCACCGGCATCATCAACCAAGCCATAATTCACAAAATCATCGTTCAACCTGTTCCGATTGTTAAAATTGACAAGAAAGTCACGCTCATCAATGCTATTCAGCACTACATCACCATTCTTGGCACACACCATGTGCTCCTTTCGTGCATCTCTTCTATCTGTGCTCACCACCCCCATCCCAGCCATCATTCCCACGAATACGTCCATTTCTTTGTAAATCACTGTCCTGATCATTTCTATGCTCCTTTCAATTTCTTTCTTCATAATCAGCAGCTTGCACTCATCTCTCCTCAAAAAAGGAAACGATGCGTATTCGTTCAATCGCTTGTAATTTCTGAGATGAGGAGATGATCTTGTGCTTGTTAGCCGGTCTGTACCGTGCTGTTCAGCCGTATTCTTGGTGTTCATGGGCAGGGTGCTGTTCAGTTCTGTTATCACGTTCTCATACGCATAATCATTCTTTCTGATATTTTGTTTTTCATCACCGCCGTAGTTTTTATGCGTTGGTCTCGCTACTTTGAATACACCGTATTTTTTATCCACGGGCTCTATCTCAGTACGGTATTTTGGACCGATGTATTTTACTTCATGGACATGACCATAGACTTGTCCCACCTCCGTACTTCTAATGCAATGCCCATTATCGTTCCCGGTGCCATGCCCATTTTCGTTCCCGGTGCCATGCCCATTTTCGTTCCCGGCGCCATGCCCATTTTCGTTCCCGGTGCCATACCCATTATCGTTCCCGGTGCCATACCCATTATCGTTCCCGGTGCCCTGCCCATTATCGTTCCCGGTGCCACATCCATCAGCAACCCATTCATCCATACCGTTCAACACACCCTCCTCCCTACACATTCTCTCTTTCTCTACCAACTCAACCATCTTCATCACACTCTCGCTCATCCTTCTCCTCATTTCCTTCATCTTCATCACCAAACACTCCTTCACACCCATCACACGTACCATTTCATCACATCTCCTCCCCACATGCACATCCATCCTCCTTATCGTTTGTAAAATGCTCATCTTCATTTCTAATCGCTCTTTCGTGCACCGCAATGCATGCACTTCAAGCGCAAGTGCTAAATTGCTCGTAAGATGTGCTGCTGTCATCGTTCTAAACTCGCTTGTTTCTGTTTATGCGATGTTTTACATTTTTATGCTTTTTTTATTGTGAAACGCACTGTTTTATGGTATTGATTTGGAGTGGGCATTAATTCTGCGTTTTAATGCTCTACCTCGTAATTAAATAATTTATATTCTGTTCAACGCTCTACCTCGTAATTAAATAATTTATATTCTGTTCAACGCTCTACCTAGTAATTAAATAATTTATTCTGTTCAACGCTCTTCTTCATAGTTTATTTAGTGTTTTTACCATAATTAAAGAATTTACCTCAGAAACGATTCCTTATTCTGCGTTGATAGGGGTAAATAATTTTAGCAACAAGGAATTGCGCACCACATGGTGACAACCAAGGGATTAACAGAGCTGTACTGTTATGCTATGATCGCTGAATTAAGAGGCGTTAATTTGTGCGTAAAATGAAAGGAATCAGAAGAATTATTTGCTGTGAGGGGTATTTAACATGCACATGAAAGCAACCAGATCACACCTTTACTAGGAGCATTCTTGCTTTCATACCCATGAATACTTCGCAAAGGATATTTTAACACAGATATAGAACGGTCTAGGACTGGTAATGCAGCATGCCACCCTTTTCTTGGTATAACTCGTGTATGTTACTTCGTAACGGGTAGATGAAGAAAGGCAAAGCTATGCATGAAGATAAGAATTTACCATAAAGCGGCGGAAAGCGTAACTGAGGTACCGAGCAGATTTAATTTATCATGCGAAAGAATAAAAAGGTACATGAACAGGGATAAGTGTTGTAATGAGAATGCTGTGCAAATACGAATAGTGCAACGAGAAAGGACGAATCGTAATTCGTGGGCTTGCGTGTTTAAGATGATACTCTTAACATGGTAACCGTGTAAGGGATGAATAGCATGTTTTGTGCAGGATAGACGTATTTATGATTTCTATGTGCATGAATAACAAAAAACTATTTAACGAATCGGCATGAACAACAACATTAACGTAATAAGTACAGCACTGCAACACATGTGCTCTTTCAGTACTACGCAATTCACACTGCCAACGCTTACATAACTTGATTAATGCCCACTGCGTTAAAAATAGTTTGCTGGTTGTTCATGCATTACACGAATACATTTTTCATTTTGAGATAAAAAATAAAAATTTTGAGCCCTTGCATGATTATAGAAGAGACAGAACGGGAAAAGAACGAAACAGAGCGGCAAATAGACAGTGAGAATGGGAGTAGAGTGGAAAAGGAGGGGTGCGTAAAAATAAAAGAGGGTGATAAAGAAGGGTGTTCTGAGAGCGTAGAGGAGGGCCATGGCGAGAAGAGCAAGGATCATAACAATGGAGAGTGTGTAAAAGAGGAAAACGGTGAAAAGAGTGGCAAAATGAATGGCGAAGTACAGGGGGGTGCTAAACAGGTAAATGTACAGATTAAACCCGAGAGTGCGAGTACATCTTCAATATTTGACAGACCTGCTCAGCCCGTGCACAAGGGAAGCGAATTTCTAAAGGAGCGGAGCGATGCACTGTTTATTGAAAAGGAAGGATCTGACGTGTTGAACAAAACGGGAAGTACGGCAGATACAGAAGAGGATGGCAAGATAGTTATTTTCAAGGCGTCTTGTCAGTTGTTCATGTTCTCAGAGAAGACGGGAGCGATAGAGCAGAGGGGTGAGGGACCCATTTACATAAAAAAGGTTGAGAAGCGCAATTTGTTCAAGCTGGCAATGGTAAGGGAGAAGATTTACAAACTGGGCTGCAACCATTTCATATTTCCGATCGGTAAGCTGCACAGGCATAAGACGAGTGCTAACACGTTTATATGGCTTACCAAGAGCGATAAGTGCGATGATGATGCAAAGAGCGAGGAGAGAACGTTTGTTGTTAAGTTTGGGAATGGAGAAGAGGCGGTACGGTTTGAGGATAGGTATGAATATGCGATGGATGAGAATGTTAAAATGTTGAAGAGTATGAAGAAGTAAGCGGTACGTTTCTATAAAAAAATAATTTTAAAAGTTGTTATTAACATGGTATTATTTATGATGTTAGCTATGGATCAGCATTTTGTATTTGTATTTTTTACCAATAAGTACCATCTCAACCCTATATCAGGCTAATATTACCATATCAGTTTATTATCTCGTTCTCATTATCTCAACCACACCATCTCATAGCTAATATCACAATTATATTTCTTACAGATAAAAAGAAAACTCGAAATATGATTGGTCAGTTCTGCGAAATAAATTATTTGACCCTTCGATAAAAATAAAAAATGCTTATTTCATGTATTTGCACTGAATGAAGAGTCTAAAGTTGTTGTACAACTCATTCTTTCCGAAACACCCTCAATTTTTCTCTACTAAAAACATCAAAACACGATCACCGAATAGTAGCTAATTAATTAACCCCTAACATAAAATCTTAAACAATAGAAAAAACATAATACGAAATATGAAAAGAAGAAAGTATCAAAGAATGGAAAGAACAGTTTTAACCGTTTTATAAATGGAAATAGCGCAGTTATTATGAAATAAAATCATATTTACCATATGAAAAAATCTGCTGTTTTACTCGCTTTGAGCAATGCAGGCAATTATTTACGCTTACAGTACCAGATCACTTCTACATTTGCAGTACGAGTTCGACTCTCCGTATTTGCGGTACGATCGGTGCTTTTCACTGGTGATATAATCGGTATTTTATGTTTGAGATGCTTGCATAGCTCTTCATGGCCTGCACTCATCGTTCCTATGCCCCCTCATGGCACACTTTCGCCGTTCCTACGCACGCATTCTACACGACTAGCAGCCACCGAACCGATAAAACGTTAAGACATGCTTTGCATCCCTAACACCACGTAATACGCCGTGCAATTTGTCCAACAGCAATTACCGTCCTCTTACATCACCACATGAAACAAAACACGTATGAGTTGCTGTTGTTAGGAATAAAAACACCGCGCACCTGCGCTCTATGCTGCTGCTCGCATACATTCTTCTTTCGTTCCAGGCTACCACCCTCGGCAACACCCAGACAAACATTCCGCGCAGAGAGACGATGACCAAGGTGGTACGATTCCAGTTCTACATCTCGCCTTACGCACGCACACGATATATCAACGAGAACCGCAAGGTGGAGGACCTCGTGCAGTTCGTTGCATCTGAACTAGAGCGTGCTCTCAATCTGTACCTGGAGAAAAGCGACAGACCGGTCACCATCAGCTTTGTGCCGATCTTTATACGTGAGATACCACCTGAGATTGAGCTGGACAGGTGCGATACTAACATGCTTGAGCTGGGTACAATGCTGAACAGCTTTAACCTGGAGACAAGCGATACGTCCATCATTGCCGTCCTATCGTGCGACTCGAAGCCTTATGAGGGCGTGTTCATCACAAGGGAGCAGGAGGTGCCGTACATTGCGCACACCCTGTCATCACAGTGCACGACCAGAACACTGATCTTTTTGGAGACTGAGGAGCCTAAGTTTTTGGCAGCAGTGAGCACGGCCATGATACGTGCTGCTGGTGTGGATGTGCTCAACCCGCTGCTGTTCGAGGAGGTAATCAACGGTGATTCGGGGATCAGGTACGATATTAGGGTGAACAATGAAACAATGGAAAAGATCAAGGAGAACAGATGCTTCTACAACCACTAAATTAATAAAAGTTTATATTAATCATGAAAATGAGCCTTGAGACGGGGTGTTTTAGTTTGAAGCGCGTTTTGTGATGGGCTAGTGCAGTAAATTTTGGTATTGAGTTTCTGATTTTGTGGGGAGCAAAACCTTATTGCACCTTGAATGCGCTCGTGACTGAAGCGGAATTATTGCACCTTGAATGCGCTCGTGACTGAACCGGAATTATTGCACCTTGAATGCGCTCGTGAGTGAACCGGAACTAAATTCACTTCTCACCTCAGTTACCCTGCATTCAACGCCGAGAATGTATTTGTAGAGCCACTAAAATAGATGCTATGTATTTTAGCGGGAAGCAAGCTGATCTACTAATGACGAGGAAACGGTTTATCTCGTGATAAAGAGCTGAGGACACGTTGTGTTGGAGAAATAACTCTTTTTGTGAGAAAGCAACATTTGCTGGATGGCGAGCAGTTCATCACACCAATCTCATTTGATAGTGTGCTAGTATTTGTAGAGCGGTGTGTAAGAACTGTACATTTATATTAAACTGTTTTGTGGTGAGATGAGCACTTAGTATCAGCGATAAGAAATATTTTCTGCTATTGCATATAATTGGGCAGCACGTGTACATAATTCAATAAGGAATGGATCATTGCTTCACATCACCAAATCAATTGTGTTACCTTGCATTTCTACCGCATCTCCCAAATACTTGTGGTGATGCGGTACAGAACTGTGAATACTAAGCTTGTTGTTGGCGATCAGGCACAAGTGCAGTTTATGGTACCATTTGATGAGTAATTCACTGCACTATGCAANGTTGATCTGAGCATGTTCATATAAGAGCGCGGTTACTGCTGCTACAAACATTCCTCTTTCATGCTAACCCTAAACAAACTCTCTTCCTCAACAGCTATACCTTTTTAGTATTCATGTACCAATTTAATCATGTTTTGCTTGCTTGGCATGTCTGTGCTGTTTCCTTGTGCACCGTGCCCTTTCTTAGAGCGGATCCTTGCAAAAGTGCAATGAATGGTTCTATCCTTTGAAAAAGAGCAGCTCGCCATTTATCGTGCTATTTGTGTTTTCAGCACACATTCGCATGCAGAAGAACAGCTGTGCAGTTTTGCATACGTAGCGGTAATTACCGTGCTACGATATGTGTGATGAGTGATTTGCACGTTCATGGAATACTCTCCAAGAATAAAACAATCCATGCTTATCAACGATGATCCCTTCCACACCAACGCAAACCCCTTTTCTTAAGAAATGGTGTTTATTAAAATTTCCGATGTCTCCAATTTAACAGGACAACCACCCTTTGTGTACAACGCTTCGCAGTACCTAGCATTACGTACCTCCATGCACAACTCGTTAGCCGCTCACGATAACTTCGCATACTTTTGCTTTTTCTCGCCAATTGCCGCTTCATAATCGTTCATTCTGTACGGCTCGGTGAAAGCACTCAGTTTCTTTCTCTTTGAGGCGCCTGCATTCAGCGACAGCAAATGGCCAGGCTGTGTGCTGGGTTGGCTAAGACTGTCCGTCAAGCGCTGCAATTGCACGTAAATGTTGTTGAGAAGCGCATTTGGAAAGTTATTGCCCAGCAAATTTTGTGGATTGCTGAACGGGTTATTACTAGAAATGTTTGGCCGTGTGCTCGGAGGGATATTCTGGAAATTGGTTGGATTGTTCGTTGTGTCTGTTCCTACGGGCACGGACACACGGCCAGTGTTTTGATTGTTGGTAGCGCTGCTCGCCGTGTCTGCACGGTTGTTACGCGGGGTATCGGCAGCAACATCACCGGAATTGGTCGGTGCGCTTTCATTTGATGGTGGTTTGGTTATTATGCTGTCATCAAGCAGATTGTTAAACGCTTTTTTTACAGGTGATCCGCTCATCTTTGGTGCTGGACTCCCCGGTTTCTTCTTTTTTGCTTCTTTCGTGGTGTCTTTCTCATCTTTATCGAGAAACTTGAACAACTCTGCAATCATTTCCTTTCCATTTTTTGCAATTCCTTTTCCAATAAACCTTTTAAACTTGCTTAACATCTCATCAACGTTCTCTATACCATCCATCTGCTCGTTTACGCTCCATTCCTTGCACTCCTTGTACTTGCACTGGCACTCCCTGAGCTCCTTCAGCAGGTCTCTGCCCTTCAAGTTTTGACTAAAAACGTGGTCAAGATCTGCCCGTATGCTACTTCTGGTGTACAACGAGCCACCATCTGCCTTGTCACCATCCGCATCATCAAAACTGCCCAAGTCCACAAATCCGTCTTTGTACTGTCCCTCGCTCATCACCATGTTAGGAGCGCTTAACACCGCACCCAACAGTCTTACCACACCCAAAAATATGCCATACAGCGCATCGTTGCCCATCATGCCCATATTCACGAACACAACGCTGCCACACACCTCGTACACGTTATACTTGTCCAGGCTATCGTCTAATCGCGTGCTGACCAGCATAATGACGTTTTCACCGGGTAGCGCCCTCTTAATCTCCTCCTTCCGCTCCTCTATTTTGTCGCTTCCCGCCAGCAGCTCTAGCGCACCAAACATTTTCATATTGCTGTACTGTGCGAACGAGAGCAGATGCTGCACACGTATGGACGTACCGTGCGCTACAAGAGTTTGGTTGTATTTTGTGAGCAGGTCATCGACTGCCAGTTTGTACGTATGCATTGTGGCTGTGGACTCGTCCTTTTCGATGAAAATTGATATGTTCATTGGCTGTGATAGCACCGCTAGAATGAGTGTGAGCATTTGTTTACTTTTTACCGTGGTTTGTCTTAATGAACAGCTTTTGTTTATGTTTGTGCTGATCGTTACGAATCGTATTTTATTGCAGCGTGCATGCACAATTAACCATTTAGGGCCTGTTCTCCGGTTTATCAGCGGTAATTGCGCGTTTGTATTTTACTACGGTGCGCAGAAATGCTTTTCATGGTAAGTAGGCGTTTATACACCAGCAGAAAATCTTGTAACAGAGCCAACATAGAATCATAGTCGATACGCAGCTCATCATTGTGTAGTGCTAAGCATAGCGTACTTATATTGCTGTGTAACAGATCCGTGCTTCTACCCCAGCCATCATTCAGGAACTGATTCATTCGTTGTATTTACACCTTCTACCATGGCACACAGTCCTTTCCGTGTTGTATCAATTTGATGATCTTATTACGTGAGCTTACGTTTGACCATTTTTGTCGAATGATCAACCTTTTTGTATGAACTCGTGCACCTGTAAGTACAACACAACACTTAGCATAACTTATGACGATAAAATACTTTTGTACCGGCAAGTTTCAAATTTCCTCGTACAACGGGTATAAATCCAAATGTAAACGTGGTTCACTAAATTAAATGATGAAAATGAACAATTCATTCACGTACAGCTATAGATAACGCTTCTATGTAACGCTTTACCGTATCACAGCTATTTCTAATGCATGTTTTGATCAATAAATTGAATTATTCATTATGTACTGATGTATACCAGAAGAACACAACTCAACGATTTGTACGCAGTTAACAATGTGTATACCACATTATATGTGAAAATCTATGCATTGAAATAGACCATGAAACTTACGCATGTTTGAGATAAAAAGAGAGGGAGGAGGTTGGTTTTGTTTGTGAGGATTATGTATTAAATACTGCTTAAGAGATGATTTGTGAATGTATCTAAGTATGAATCATCTGGTCGACAGGCCGTACCAGCCGTATGTTTAGGGAATGGGAAGTGCTAGCTCGTTGGCAGTGAGCCAAGGGCATACCGAGAGTGTAAAGCTTCTGCTATCAAAAGATGACGTACAACGCTATTCATGGCGTGTTCTTGGTTAGTGCGATGCTCATTCGCTTTGGTGACAGCTCTGTGCACTTTTGACCGGTTGTATGAACTCATATTCGCTGTTCTTGCACGGTCTCGTTTCAAATTGACGGACACGTTGAATTTACATCCTTTGCGGGCCACTCCCTGCCACATCAAGTCATTCTTCAATTCCTAAACAGTAATTAAAGGTACCCTTCGGTTCACCAAATGCAAATCCCTAAAGCACACAGGAAACTGATAGTACGTCAGTTTATCAATAACCCAACAACAAGCCTGAGCGTGCTTGCAATGAGAATAGGCCAGATGATATGCGTGGATGAGCGGGACATACTGAGATATTTAGAGAGTGTTACGGTCAGCAGTGCATTTGGAAGGATGCTGAGGAATGATGTGTTTAAGGAGCTGGAGAATGAGGAAGATGGTGGCGAGAGGGTGCACAACGTGCAACGGGCACAGGAACGGGAACGGGAACGTGGAAGGAGAGGAGATGACAGGCCGGATGTAAAACCGATGAAAATGCAGGGACCGCAGAAAAGCACGTATAGTGGTGCACAGACAGACACAGACAGCTCACACACAAATTTTACGCATTCACGCATCATATACCACACTTTTAACACGCCGTATGACCAGTCCGGCTCATACAGGCACTTCGCTGCGAAGTGGGAGGACGTGCATCCCAACATGCACGCACAGGATACACAACAGGACACGCTTGCTAAACGACCAAAGACGGGCAGGAGGGACTACAGCAAGGACTACAGTGCACGGGATTTCACAGGAGAGTACGGCACGAGGAAGAGGGATGCACGCACCGATATGCGAGAACAGAAGCAGAGCGTAGATTTGGGCACCTGCGAAAGGCTGATCATCGAGGATGTTGATGCTGATCTGATCGTTGATCTGCTGGTAATCTTCAATTTTGTGTTCGCGTTTTACGATGAGCTGAAAATCGGGGAGTGCAAGGAGATCAGGAGGTGTGTGCAGGGAGAGAGCAAAGCTGTCAAGAGGGGCAGAAAGGGAAAGAAAAAGACGGTCGATGTCAGGGATAAGGAGGAAGGAGCACATACAGCTGCTGAACACACCTGCGATCCCTTCTCAGGCGACTTCACGCTCCAGCAGCTCATTCTCATCATCAGGAACGGCTTCGCAGATCTTCTGCTGGTTCTTCTCAGGCTGGTCGCCAACGAGCGCAGAACAGAGCGCCTGAACAACTTCAGAGAGATGGTGGCGAGGGCCATAAACACGTTCTATCCCGATGCAGCAGACAACCCGCTCACGAACACCAAGCGTATCCAGTGGTTCAGCAAGCCGCTGACAGCCAAGAATGTTTTGCTGGGCGTGAACAGCCTGTTTGTTGACATGAAGCGGGTGATGGAGGTGAAGAACGTGGTATCTCTCAATTCAAAGCAGTTTGACAGCCGTGTGAAGGTGCTGAAGTTCCTTGTGGATGTGTTGGTGGAGGGAGGTGCAGTCAGGGGAATGGTGAGCAAGGACAGGGACAGGCAGTGGGAGAAGAAGAAGAGCGCACTCAAGAGCGAAATAAGGCGAATAAAGAGCGAAATTAAGATGAGCAAGGGTGCGCTGCGGAGTGGGTCAGATGAGAAGGGCAATGCAGAAGGTACCAAGGGCAGGAGAAGCAGTGCTGCCAAGGGTGGTACTGCCGTAACAAACAATTCGATTGAACCAAAGAATGCAGAACTCGCCAACAAAGTCGCGGCACTCACCGAGCAGTTTGGTACGCTGAGCAAGGAGTACAACAACCTGGAGATAAAGTGCTTTAAGAACCGCTTCAACTCCGAGCTTGGTGAGTACGATAGCAGACAGCTGCTGTACATGGACAGAAAGGTGATATTCATCAGGGATGGTGTGGTGTACTGCCTGAAAAGAAGTGATGTGGAGAGCGTGATGGAATACGTAGATGATGATACGAAGGGAAATCTGAGGCTTGCGCTGATGTGCGTTGTCTGATCGTGTGCTGCTTATATACTTTTGTAAAGCTTATCCGTTTATGTGCATAAAATAATAAGATCCAAAGCGCTGTACATCACAGTTGACCGCTATTACTACATCAAAACGACCCATCCGTGTTCGTTATCGATAAACACCAAATTATGCAAAATATATTCTTGTAATCTTCTCACCATAAGAAACGATCAACATCAAAAAATGCGCTATTACTATCTCTCATCCATCTACCACAACGTATGTCAAACCTCAAATTCCTCAATAAAAATAGCAGTTCCGTTGCAGCCCATGCAATGATCAACCACACTGGTATTCGTTAATAGTTCAACATGATTCAGGTAAATTGCAAATTTTGAGCACCAATCCTTTAAGTGTGGCACCATACCTACATGTTTGTAGGTGCTCTCCACTAACACGTCTACTCAGGCCATGTCTATGAAGTATCCTCTTAACTGTTCAAATGCCTCGAATAATCGGCGTATTCTTTTCGTAAATTTTTCAGGTAACAAACGTGATGCATTAATTAAATTATGCATTTGAACTGAAAGGCTGCAAATACGTGGTACACCATTAGAACGGGACAAACACGTTTTGTACCAATCGAATTTTCTTCGAAATATAGAGCAACGCGTTTTTTGCACGTTTTAAATCAACATTTTGTTGCTGAGCGGTCTTAGGTTGCATAAATATTTGCTAAGAAGATTGAACGGCTAAGAAACTAATTTAAATTTACCTACCAATCCTTTGAAGATCTGCAAAGGATTTTCTCCACCACAAACGTGTTACTTTATCATTTCTCGCCAGAAAACGTTAATTACCACCGCAGCATGCTCAGCAATTAATTTCTCGGCCGAACGCTTCCCCACTGTTTTAAAAGCACTTCGCTCATCCCAAACCCTTTTTCCACGCCATAATTAATTTTTTTATTCCTCAACCCTCAACAACACCAATGCCATCAACACAAAGCACACTACTCCCCAAATACCTCATCACCATCACCGTAGTTCGCCTGCTGTTCACCACCAAAGACCTTCTCAGTCCACACGTCAACACATCAACACTGTGCCTCCTGTATACCAACCTACTGCTCGATTTACTACGCTTGCTTTTCGTCAAGCAGCTCAAGAACACGTTCTTCTTTAAGATGGTGGCAGCAAGCTTTGTGCTTGAAATGGTGGTTTATCTGATACTTGTGAGGGATGTTGGATGGGTTCGTGCATGGTGTGCCATTGCTTTTGGGGTGTTTAGTGTGGGATGGATGGTTTTTCTGCATCCCTGCTATATCAGCGATGAGAAGGAGAGCTAGGATGGGCGTTTTATACGCAAGACGGTCTGTGTTTGCGCTTGTGCGCTGTTATCTCTGTGAGAGGAACGCTCTTTCGTCCGATCATTACGAGCCATTCATGTATAAATTGCTTTTACACCCATTTTATATTTTCTTGCTCGAAAGATCAGCTCCTTCTTTTCTATGCAAACGGTCCTTTCTCTCCATAAATTTGTTTCTATAAAGAAGCGTTTTCCTCAGAACGTAGCTAAGTTTGCCGTTCCTAGCCCTGTCCTTTGCAACAGACCCGTTGTTGTGAATGCTTTGGTCAAACACCTTCATTAAATTAAATGTGCCGTTGTAAATGATCCGCTCATCAGGGTGTGCACGTCACGTTCAAAATGCCAAGTTTTGCCGTACGGTGTACCACACAACAATGATGAGGTTAAACGCGCCGTGGTGTTCATCGCTGAGTGTGAAGTTGAGTCATTGATCTGAGCAGACATAATTTGAAAGGATTCTGCGCGTGTACTACGCGATAATATGTGCATTATTGTGAGAATTGAAACGTGCAGCAGCACGTGCTTTCGTGTTTAAACGGTGTTGATGCGCGTGGTACAAAAGCACTTTGGTAAAAATGCTATCTTCTATTTTACGAGGTACCAAAATAATTTGTTGAGCAGCTCATTGCTCAGATGGTAGATTTAGAACAGCGCACTGGGAGTGAAAGTAAAGTAAAGTAAAGTAAAGTAAAGTAAAGTAAAGTAAAGTAAAGTAAAGTAAAGTAAAGTAAAGTAAAGTAAAGTAAAGTAAAGTAAAGTAAAGTAAAGTAAAGTAAAGTAAAGTAAAGTAAAGTAAAGTAAAGTAAAGTAAAGTAAAGTAAAGTAAAGTAAAGTAAAGTAAAGTAAAGTAAAGTAAAGTAAAGTAAAGTAAAGTAAAGTAAAGTAAAGTAAAGTAAAGTAAAGTAAAGTAAAGTAAAGTAAAGTAAAGTAAAGTAAAGTAAAGTAAAGTAAAGTAAAGTAAAGTAAAGTAAAGTAAAGTAAAGTAAAGTAAAGTAAAGTAAAGTAAGTTAAAAG